GAGGATGCTAAATTTACCAGCCAATGGACACAAAGTGGTTACTCCAAACATCAACTTTTAAACTCAAGAATTACGTATTTGTTGGTGCTTGTATGATAATTGAATAGGCATTAAGCTTCTATATAAGAGTATCCCAAAGAAGTATCTAACAAATATAGATCTAGTTTTAGACATATCATCAGCAATATTCAATTGTCTTCACTTCCAAAGAGTTTGTACTTGTTAGAATATTACAAAATATATTATAAAATATTTTTATATAATTATTAATATGGTGATTTATATTTTCATATATGGATCTCTCGTCTAAACATATATACCCCTAAGCCTATAGAATGAAATATAAGAAATATGTAGTATTTTTATTCCTTAACTTTTTACATAGTATCACAGTTAGAGTTAAGATTAAGATTTTAGGGATCACAATACATCAGATCAAATAAGGGTTGAACACCCATTCCCAGCGTTGGAGGAAGTCAACCACCTATCTCCGGCCAATTCATAGTGTGACCAGCACGGTGGTGTACGCAGAAGAAGAGGACGAGGCCGTTTGCTCGGCTGTTTGGAGTCACAGAGTCGGGTTTTACGGTTGTTTGTGGTACGATTTGAAGTCACAACGTCGTGTCTGTCCCATGCGAAGTCAGAAGGTGGAGGGAAGCTTAGCCAGCCGGTTCTGAGAAGGAAACCAAAAGGCCGAAGCGGAGGAAACCCAAGGCTAAGCAGATCGTGTGACAACAAGCTGTTTCTGATTCTCCAGTGCAATTTGGGCAATTTTGGGAGCTATATTCCGGATTCAGGTGTGTATTCAGCTTCTGTGGTGATTTTCAACAAAAGGAATGTTGGTTGGCGTTTTCCAACGGCGGTAGGTGATTTCCCGGCTGCGGCGTGTGACTCTCTGACGCAGCGTGTACGGCGGCGATCAGTCTCCGATAGTAGCAGTGTGGTTCTTTTGGTTTCAGTGTGATAAGAGGTACTCTGTTTTTTAATAATTTCTCCTTTATTTGTAGTGTTTTCCATATATCTCTAACTGCTATGTTTTGGGTACTTTTGGTGGCATTTTTTGTAATTCCTGAATTAAAATGGGTAATAATATTATCTGTTATTACTTTCGTGAATGAAAGCATATAAAACGGCACTGTAAGAAATTACAAAATCGCAGTCGGATGACACAGACCACTAATATTATTACTGCTACTGCTAATTAATCTTCTGAGAGAACTGTTATGATTTCAGCTGACGAATATACTAAATTCATTCAGTATCATAAATCTTTAAATAAATTTTCTATTCTTATTGAATAAAAAAAAATATATTTTATCTCCTTCTCGAACAAATGGATAATTGATTCTAATGTTACAGATTACACGACAGGTAATCCAAATATTTTTTTCTAACTTTCAACCGCACAAATCACATTTTCTTGTAACTATTATTGATGAGTCGACTTATAACATTGTGGATTCTGGGACCACAAAATCAAGTTCATCTATTACTCTGTCATCTATATTAATTCTAACTAAACTTGCCTTCAATCTAATTTTTGTGAGTAAACTGACTAAATATTTAAATTGTTGTATTATATTCTTTTCTTATCACTATATTCTTCAAAATCTTACGACGAAACAAATTATTGGTAAAAGAAATATATCAGATTGTCTCTACAATTTTGATATTTGGATGCCTCGATCGGTTGTTTGCTCTACTGTTATCTGTTCATTTTAAGCACATTATCAATTAGGGCATCCTTCTCTACCTATGTTAAATAAACTATGTTCTCAATTTTATGATGTGCTTTCATTGGATTGCGAGTCATGTCGATTTGCAAAATATCATCGAAGTCCGTCAAGTCCAAAGGTCAATAGATAAGCTGAGTCTGCTTTTGAGTTAGTTCATTCTAATGTTTAGGGTCCATGTCTTATTTCGTTTAAAACAGATTTTAAGTATTTCGTTACTTTTGTGGATGATTTCTCTCAAATGACTTAGATATATTTAATGAGTCATTTTGAAATATTTTTTCACTTTTGTGCTTTTTATGCTGAAGTCAAGACACAATTAAATGTTTCTGTACATATATTAAGAAGCGATAATGCCAAGAAATATATGTCATATTCATTTCAGAACTATATGACTCAACACGGAATTATTCACCAATCCTCGTGTGTAGATTCACCATCTCAAAATAGAGTTGATGAGTGAAAGAACAAACATTTACTTGAGACAGCTCGAGCCCTCTTGTTCCAAACGTAAGTCTCTAAGCAATTTTGTGTTAATGTTGTTTTCACGGCTTGTTTATTGATTAATCATATGTCATCTACAGTACTTGACGGAGATGTTCTTTACAGTCTTCTATTTTCAAACAAATTTTTGTTTCTGGTGCAATCTAAGATGTTTGGTAACACTTGTTATGTTCGATATGTGCAATGTAGTGTCATAAAATTCAACCCAAATGTCTTAAAATGTGTATTTTTGAGATATTCTCGCCTTCATAAAGGATACCGGTGCTATTATTCAGATCTCAATAAATACTTGGTATCAACTGATGTGATCGTTTTAAAAAATACACCATATTTATTCTCATTATCCAAGTCTACAAGTCAAGAGGCGGACAATAAGTGGTCCATCTATAGTTTCACACTAGGTGCCTCCACTGAATAAACAGATAATAGTAATTCTCCACATGGTGTACCTCCAACGCTGCTTAAGCAAGTTGATAATAGTGTTAGTGTGCCTCTAACCCAATTACCACCACCAATTATTCATGTTTATTCCAGAAGACATCAGACTGCACCAGATCCGTCGTCATCTGATTCTGCCTCACATGACCTCGATCTTCCCATTGTCTTCGTAAAGGTAAACGTCAGTGCACCATTCCTAAGTCAATTTATCCCATTACTAATTTTGTTTCGTATGATCATCTGTCTCTTTCGTTTATCTCTTTCACTACTTCTATAGATCGATTTCTATACCCAAAATAGTTAAGAAAGTTTTGAATCATCCTGCCTGTCATAATGCGATGTTTGAGAAGATAAATACTCTCAATGAAAATCATACTTGGGATTTGGTGGATTTACACAAAGAAAAAAAAGTCTTGGGGTGCAAATGGGTTTTTGCAGTTAAAGTAAACCCAGATGGCTCAGTAGCAAGACTTTAAACCAAACTTGTAGCAAAAAACTATGCTCAGACTTATGGGGTTGATTATTCTGATATCTTTTCTCCGGTGGCCAAATTTATATTTGTCCATTTATTCATCTCTATTGCATCATCTCGAAATTGGCCCTTACACCAATTGGATATCAAGAATGCATTCTTTCATGATGATCTCCTAGAATAAGTATATATGAAGCAACCATGTGGGTTTATTGCTCAGGGGGAGTACAGGAAAATCTGTCATTTGAATAAATTTTTATATGGCTTGAAGCAGAATTCCTGTGCATGATTTGACAAAAGTGAAGTAGCTCTAGAATTTAGACTGAAGAAAAGCAAGTGTGATCATTCGATCTTTTATAAATAGTCAACGTCTTACAGGAGATGAGTGTGCAGAAATATCCTCCCTCAAATCATTCTTATATACTAAGTTTCAACAAAGACTTGAATCAGTTAAAATACTTCTTGAGAGTATAAGTAACAAGAATCAAGAAAGAGATTTCTTTTCTCATAGCAAGTATGTACTTGGTCTACTTGCAGAAATTAAAAAGTTAGGAGCTAAACTGTGTAACACACTAATGGCACCAAATGTACACCTTACTAAAGATGATCATGACCCCCTTGATGATTCGGAAAGGTACAGACGATTAGTTGGGAAATTAAATTATCTTATGGTGACTCGTTCAGATATTGCATATCTTGTGAGTGTTGTTAGTCAATTTATGTCTGCACCGACAGTCAAACATTGGTAAGTTTTGGAACAGATCTTATGCTACAGAACTTCATATATTGTTTAGCAATTATGGGCACACTCACATTGAATGTTTTGCAGATACTAATTAGGCTGAATCTAAAATTGATAGAAGATCCACTACAGGTTATTGTGTTTTCATTAGTGGGAACCTAGTATCATGGAATAAGAAGCAGACTATTGTGTCCCACTCCAATGCAGAGTCCGAATACAGAGCTATAACCCAGTCTGCATGTGAAGTCTTATAAATACAATACCTCATAACGAAAGTGGGTTTAAATTTCATACTACTTGCAAAACTCTGATGTGATAATCAAGTTGTCTTTCATATTTTCTCAAATCCGGTGTACCATGAAAGGGCCAAACATATTGAAATTGATTGTCACCTCATTCGTGAGAAGATTCAGAAGAACTTGATTTTTAACGATTATGTGAAAACAGAGGAACAAGTAACTGATATATTCACAAAGGTTTTGAATGGAATCCGAATGGAATATCTTTATAACAAGTTGGGGATGATTAATATCTATACTTCAGCTTAAGGAGGAGTGTTAAAATATTACAAAATATTCTTATGTAATTATTAGTTGATTTTCTAGTATTAACAGGGTGATTTATGTTTTCATATATAAATCTCTCTTTTATGCATATATACCCCTAAATCTATGGATGAAATATAAGAAATATCTAGTATTGTTCTTCCCTAACTCTTTACAATACCGAATGATCCATTTCATTGGCCACATGAAGCACAAGCATCTTGTGACCATTCAATGTGAGCATAAAGTTTATTTCAAGAAAAAAATGTGAGCATAAAATTTATTTCAAGAAAAAAATGTAAGCATAAAGTATTTCCATCTAAGAAGATAGTAAGGGTTCTTACTTCAATAAAAAATTTTGAGTACTTGGAAGGCCATTCATCAGAATCTTTGACAGTAGACCTGCAAGTAACATTAAGTTTTATTAAAATATGCATGCAAATGTTGTTCTATAGAAGAGGAAAAAACTGCAAATGATGAAATCTAAAGCCATCAACACAATTTGTTACAATAACCAAAAATGGAATTGGAAGCAATCAACTCAATAAGAAACTAAAAGAATGTCCATATAGACTCAATCACAAAGGCACTGGATTGAACTATGCTCACCTTTTATACTTAGTAACTGCAACCCCCTTAATATATATAGCTCCTGCCATCCCTGAAATATATTAAGCACGATAAGGATCACAAAAATTATCAAGGTTAATCAATTTTCTTATTTAGCCTTTTCTTCTGGAACCAATTAGAAACCTAAATCACATTACGCTTATAAACAAAAAGGTTAGAGACAAAAAAATTCAGAATATAGAGTCTAAAACAAATCAACTAATCAGCACTATGAAGTTACAAAATATGTAAATGAAAATGGCAAAAGTACATTATTTCACCCTCAACTTATTGAAAATGTTCATATTGCACCTTAAAATTTTTCCTTTTTTATTTAAATCATTTCTCAACTTTTGAAAATGTTCAAATTGCATCCTTAACTGTTACGTATTAAAGCTATCAACAGTAACCACATGTATGTGCTACTATGTATAAATAGACAT